CCATGTGGTACAATCCAGTAGTAGTGGTGTTGCCATGTAGTACACTGAAAAATTGCAATAGAAGGTTAGTCACCAAAGTTTTCGAGCCGCTCCGTCTGTCACTTCGTTTGTGCTTATACCATAGAGGTAACTCTAAGACCACTGGGTCCCGAAGAAAATCATTATTATTTTTGGCTCACTCAGTACCAGAACAACGGTCCCAAGCAGTCCCAAGCTATTTCACTCACCCCTGCATGTTCTGCATGAATCCACACACCCCTGATGTTATCTGTCAAACTTTCATAGCGAATCAAAACAAACATAGTGTAGTAATAGAATTTCAACTAGAATAGGGTACGTTAATCGTTTGCTTGGGACCAATAGGCTACTAAAGTGGTGAGCCAATTTAAAATCGTTAGTTTCGTATTGATTGTTGGTATTACTTGGAAAACTCAGGTAATTTTATCCGAGAGAGAAAGACGATTAAACGTCACAACGCAAACAATAATCAATCTTGAAATAAATTCACGCTAAAAAAGTTGAAAATAGTGACTTCGTACAAGAAAAAGTGACTTGGCCTTAAAAAAAGTGACTTTTTAGCGAGGGGGGCGACACATCTAAATCTCAATTCTAGGTGCTCAACAAATCTCACACTAGCTAATCAATCTTCGAAAAATCTTCAATCATTTCTCGCATCTACTTGCATCGTGCATCATCTTTTTGCAAGAAATCTTCAGAATCGTCATAAATCTTCTTACTATCTACTCAGCGTGCGCGCAGCTAACCACAGCAAACAACAATTTTTCCTTCATCGTAGATAGAGTCGCCCCCCTCGCTTTTTAGTGACTGACTTGAAAAAAGTGACCAAGTCACTAAAAAGTTATTCGCTACCAGCCCTGCAATCGAGAGAATTGAATCCGCTACTCTCTTATACTAGACCCTCTCTAATCTCAACTGATAAATCTTTTTTCAAATATGTTATTGCTAGGGTAAACGCTCCTATAGTTGTGGTACGTTAGAAGCGTTAGGTTCCTATAGTTGTGTATGGATACTCCGTAACAACTAGCTTCTAACGTACCGCAACTATAGGAGCGTTTCCCCTACATGATTTTCCTGGGGAAATTTGTTAAAACCCAACATTTTCCAGATTTTTTCTAGTGAAAATAGAATCCCGACTCTTTCCCGGTTTTCCTGGTAGAGTTACCACAACGATTTACCCTACCTGACCTTGCACTGCTCATTTTCGAAGGGCCTCTTTCCTTCATCTTGTATCCTGAGTGTCGGTTCTCTGGGCGAGTGGTGTCCACCCTTTTGTAGAGTGTGGCCAACTCACCTCCACCTACGTTCCTATATTTCTGTTGATACCGGCTTCTGATGAAATCGGCGATGGAGTTCGGCATTCGAGTTACCGTCGTGAACTTTCCCACGGAAACACTTCTGTTTCTATTTATTTATTTAACCACCATGTTTGACATTTTAGCCATACAGACTGTTTAAAGTGACTTAATCCTATTCTTAAAAGCTGGTCTACTTATATTAAAATCAAAAACATCACACACATCATTAAACAGTCTGCAACATCTATCGAGAGGATTGTTATAACCGTAAGCAGTACGATGTCCGGGAGTCCACAGAAAGTAATAGTTGCGGAGACGGCGAGCTGAAGTGTGCAAATTGATGTTCCCGAGCAAACAACTGCAGTCAATATGATTACTAATCATGTCAAATATGAACATACTCTGGAGAAAGACTCGGCGATTTGTTAGTGTTTGCAGTCCAATAAGCGCACATCTATGCTCGTACGGAGGTAAGCTATCTGGATTTGTCCATGGCAGACGTCGTAATGCAAACTTTATAAACTGTTTCTGGACTATCTCGATGCGCAGTACATCAACAGCATGATGTGGAGCCCAAATTTGTACTCCATATTCAAGAACACTGCGGACCATAGAGCAGAACAGCGCGTACACGTCGTCGAATTGTGCAGTATTGCGGCGCAAAAATCCTAGCATGAAGTTGGCCTTTGCAACTGTCATGGATATGTGCTCGTTAAACCGTAGTTTGCTGTCCAAGATGAGCTCAAGATCCTTAATGGCATTAACCCTTTCCAGCGGCGATTGATTCATAGAATAGTCAAAAATGATCGGAGAGTGAGAGCGGGTAAGGGTAATCACTTTGCATTTGGCAGCATTGGCTTGCATTCCATTCATCTGACACCAGGATGACAATCGCTCTATATCAGCTTGTAGTGCGCAACAATCCACGATCGATTTGATCACACGGTACAGCTTAAGATCATCCCCATATAGCAATACTTACAGGAACTTAGCATATTACACACGTCGTTAATAAACAACGAAAATGAGAGGTCCTACCTAGGTGACTCCCTTGTGGAACCCCCGATGGTATATGGAATACCTCGGATCTGGAATCACGTACCTTAACGAAAGCTTTCCTGGATGATAAGTATGATTTCAACCAACAAATGATCCCCGGTGGAAGACCAAGGCGGTTTAGCTCCATAATGGCTAGGTCGTGAGGGAATTTGTCAAAAGCCTTAGAGAAGTCGATGTAAACGGAGTCCACTTGCTGACGCTTCTCGATGCTACCTATAAGAGTGTTCGTGTAAGTCATCAAGTTAGAGACTGTCGAGCGCTTTTTCATGAATCCATGCTGAAACTCTGAGATTATGGGTTGAACAGCTGGATACAACTTCTCATGCAGAAGACTTTCGAGATCTTTGGCCAAGCAGTTCAGGATCGAGATAGGTCGGTAATTTTCCACTGTGTGCATGTTACCGGACTTGAAGATTGGTGTAATTGAGGCGAGCTTCCCGGCATCTGGAAAAACGATGCCAAGTGTGGCCAACGATGCTGCACAGTTCTTGACGAAAGACGGTGGAATACGGTCCGGGCCTGAACCTTTCGATGGATCGACTCTTCAGTTTCAGTTTCCAATTGCTTCGTTCTCATTGGTGATTTTTTTTCTCTGTTCGGGACATAACACCACTGCGACCAGTAATTTGATCTATTGTAGTATATCCCGTGTCCTTAGTTTAGTGCATGTCGTATTACCAACAATCAATACGAAACTAACGATTTTAAATTGGCTCACTACTTGACTAGCCTATTGATCCCAAGCAAATCGATTAACGTGTCCCATTCTAGTCAAAATTCTAGTACTACATAATGTTTGTTTTGATTCGCTATGAACGTTTGACAGATAAAATGAGGGGTTAATAGATTTTCCTATGTTTCGAGGGGTGCATCGATTAGCTTGGGACCGAAGATAGTACCAGAGCTGAGCCAAAAAGTTGAGCACGTTATTTCGGGACCTACTAGTCTTAGAGTTACCTCTATGGTATCACTATTGAGAAATGATGAAGTATTCGGTTTTGATACAGTGTCATTCTTGCCTTCATCGCAAAGAATCGATTCTAATTGAAAGGTCCCGCTATTTCTACCCTTCGGAGTGTTGAAACACCCTCCAAAGGCGCGCCCCTTTGTCAGTCAAAATTGGATTCCTTAGCAACAAAAACAAGCAATGACACCGATAATGACCATGCATCGGAACCCTAGTCTTAACCACTTCAAGCTAGGGAGCAACGAATAAAAGATTAGTAATCACATAGATGAAGACTAATTAACTCATTGTTTCCTTGTTTCAAGATCATCCTAGGTCCAGGCAATCCGAGGACTCTTCACTATCAACAAGGCATAAAAATTAACAAGGACTAAGATGTGTTCCTTGGATTATTGAAAAATCCTGTTCCCCTAGTTTGAAGTAATCAGGACTAGGAATCGGTGGTAGATCTTACATCCTGTAACGTACCACGAAAAGGTGATCTACCTACGTTACGGGGCTTGGTGATTACCACTGCGGAGGTTAGACTTGCTCGTTCGACTTAACCTCCACCAGATTAAGATGTTTCCAGACCACAATCGGACACTTTCGGATACCTCTGGCCAGCAGCAGCCGGAACAGTTCATACACATTTTGTAAATAAATCAAGGTTTTGTTTTATTTTTTCTTCATTTGTTCACAAATGAAAATGTAATTGCCTTTTTCCAAGATTTTTTCTCATCTTTCTTTCTTTTGTTTTCACATTTTGTTTTCATCAATTGCCTTACATGAGATATAAATCATACATAATTATAATCTTCATCATCAGAATTATATTTCCTTTGCTTTCGCTCTCTCTCTCTTTCCATTTCTATCACCCTAGCTTTCTTTCTATCCATGCTTCGCTTCGACATGAACGAACGAATGGTTCAGTTTTAAAATCCGTGCCTTTGTGTGTGTATGCGTATGTTTCTGAAACTCTCTGTGTTCACGTTGCTCCTCTTTCAAAATAGTCCTTCAACGAGGCGTGTACTCCTCTATTGTTTATCATCTTCTCTGCGCGTTCTTTCTTTGCCCTTATCAACTAATCTAAACGATACATATAATAATTAGCGCGGGATAGATGGGTGTGGGAGGAAGGGATGGCAGAAAAAAAAAATAGAGATTTACACATTGCTCTCACACCTACACATAGACTCGCGCACGTCGGTCCGATCGCATCGCTTCAAACCAGTGAAGACGGATCTCTTCCGGGTGCGCGAGAGAAAGAGAATGCATTTTTTTTTCTCCGCTCGGGGTCAAAAACATAAATTAGGAAGGAGGGTGGTTAGGGAGGGGAACGGGAAGGGGACGTGTACACATATAATGTATAAAAATGTAGGCTTTTCTGGAAGTACGATTACACGAATTTACGACAAAAGTAAAAATTATACGAACGAGAATTATGAAGTGTGTCTTGCTTGGATGAGTTTTCTTTTTGTTGTTGTTTTTTTTTTCTTTCTTAGAAAACAAAACTAACACACGCGCGATGGAATTAGGTGGATAAAAATCTCTTTTTCGGGTTTTTTTTCCTATATTGATATTCAGTTGCTCTTTTTCTCTTTTCTCCTCATCTTCATCTTTTGCTTGTTCACTTTGCTAAGTTAGTGTCTCTTTGCACTTGGTTTACACTTGATTTCTTTGTTTGATAAATAAATAAATTGTTTAAAAACAGGAAAATAATTTACAAAAAAATATAAAGGAGAAAGGAAGGTACACAAATATGTATATATAATAGTGTTTGCCTTGTTTTGCTCTTTCTAAAAAAAAAGTAACGGAGTCAATTACACAAAAGATAACCTTTTTATGCAATCTCTCTGTTGCTTAAAGTTTGCTTCGCGTTCCCGCTCGTTTTCTTCCTATGAAACGGAGTTTATTTTTTAAATAAATCGAATCACAATAACTTTGCTTTATAAATTAATATTTAATAGTTAAAATACTATATTCTTCAGTTTGCTTTTTTGTTTTTTAATCTTTTTTTATACTTTCAGAGACAAGATTGGTTTCATCGTTTCTCCATTTAACTAAAAGGATTTTTGCACGATTCGGCGGGGATGGAGTGTTTTAGTTTCCGATCCAGCCAGTCCCACACAGGCTCCGTGCAGGTTCCTTTTCTCAGTACCGCGGGCAGCGTCCTCCGACTCAAATCAGGAAGTATTCGAGATCAGACAACAGTGATAAAAAATATATGGTAGAACAGAGGTTTTGCTTCCGCAATTTGGCGGGAAGGGAGCCAACTCCCTGCGGGAAACTGTGGAACACGGGTGCGGGTGCCAGAGTTGCGTATTGGTCCGGGACTGGTGCTAGGGCGATCGGAAACTCAAACACCCCATCCCCACCGTCGTTACGAAGGGTTCTTGTTTTTGCCACGGCCTGCCGGTGGACCCCCACGGCCGGGTCCGGCCACCGTTAGGACCACGATCAGTACGATGTTCAGCATTGTTCTGGACGTGGAAAAAGAGATTTTCCTGTTTCGCTTTGTTCTTGACTTGTTCTTGTTTTTCCTTGTCTCACAACTACTACTTCTACTAACAACGACGACGTCGAAACACACAAAAAAAACGCTGCGGGCTTCTTTTGCAGAGTTCTGGTTCAACTGCTTTGATTAACTATTTTTTTTTTGTAGTTTAATTCTCTACTGATTTCCTCTGCTTCTTTTGTTTATGTTGGGTTTAAGAACTTGTTCGGGTTTCGGTTTTCCGTTTTGTTATATAGAAAGCGATTAGACAATTTTCCACTACTACACAGATTGAAATGACTTGCTTTTTTTGGTTTGACTTTTTTACGGATTTTTTTTATGGTTTTTGACTTGTGTTTTTTTTTTTAGTGTGTATTGTTTGATAATATAAGAAGATTTTTTATGTCCGTGCCAGCCGGGTTCGAATCCTGATTACTCTTGTGCTTGCTCTGGTCGGTAGTTTAGCCTCTTGGGAATCGGGATTCAAGCTCCGGAAGGAACTTGCTCGGAATTTTACTGATTTTTAAGAAGAAAAATGAGAGAAATTCCACTACAAAAAATCACACAAGCTAAGTGTTTTGCTTCTGTTTTGTTGATTTTATTATATAACGGTATGTTTTGCTTGCTTTATTGCGTAAAATATCTAATAACACAATCAGTACTGGCTTTTTTTTTGTGATAAACTGTTCTCTGTTGAAGTTTCTCGTCACTGTAATTTCCTGTGAGATTTTTTTTCTTCAGTGCTCTGCTTTCGTCAAGTCTTTTGTCAGTTGTTGATTTTTACCTTTTCGAATAATTCTCGTTCTGTTTCTGGATCTTCTCCCCTCTTCTTGGGCTTATTAGGTTTGTTTTACGTTTTAAACACCTATGTCCTAGATTTTTTTACGTTTTGTATATTTTGTACTTTTTTTGATTTTCTTTTATGCTTTTTTCTTTCGTTTTATTCTTTTTTGTTTGAATTTTCCCAAGAATTTTTGTTGTTGTTTTTTGTTTTTGTTTTTGTGAATTTTGCTTCAACTTTTGCTTAGATTAATTAAATGTGTGTATTTAATTAGATCTAGTTAAAATCAAAATAGTAAAATATAATGCTTACTAGCGAACACTCCCGCGCTGACGACGAAGCACGTCCGATGTGTAAGATGGTGACAGCTGGTCAGCTAGGCTTCGAAATTTGATTCGAAGAATGTTGTCACGCTGCTGTTGGTCAAACCTCCGCTGGTTACCACCACCGCCGACGTTTCCGCTCTGTGCCTTCGCGAGGGTGCGTGTTTATGTATTTTAACTTGTGTTTGTTGTTGTTATTCAATGATGTAATGATAGTGATTCTTCCGACAAGAATCCAGCATACACACACGGATCTTTATTGCAAGTTCCGATTACTCCGCCCTCCGTTCCGCTACTGCTGCAACTGTTGATGTTATTGTAGCGATAGCAGAATATTTGACATACACCACACAGTACTATCCGTTGTTGTTGCTTCTCCACTTAAAAGCAGACACACCAGACCACCGCTGGAACGCGAATCTTCTTCGTTCTTCTTTCTTCCAGTCACACTCACTCACTCACCGACTGACTGACTAACCGTCGCCAAGAGTTCCACCAACGGGTTTCTTCCTCCCGAAAAGAAAATGTCTTCTTTCAGAAAAGAAACACCGTTTCACAGTTTCTGTTTCTTTCACCGACCCGTCTGGGATTCGTTTTCTGTTTGTTTAATTAGCGCTCAACTTATTACTTTTAGTCACGATTTTGCTGGCCTGAACAAAACAATAATAATTGCCCTAGTTTTTTTTTTAACTTTCTAGGTCCTCTACCTCGATTTGGGGGTGTACAAAATAAGAATGGCTCGCGCGGCGACTTCAACGACGACGACGACGACACTCACTACTGTTACGGATTACACACGATTGTTCCGAAACACCCGCCCGGCTACGCTGTTGCTGCTGGCGAGTGTCTGTGTTCGTTAATGCGTGATCGGTTTTACTCGTCAAACTGTTCACAAACTGCAACAATGGGTGAAGTGGGCCAATCTTCGCCGTCATCTTCCGAGCTGACGCTGCCGGTTCTGTAATGGAAGAGAATGGGAAATGTGATTAGTTATTGGATTACGTCTTTCGAAGACATATTAGGGGTGCAATTTAAAAAAAAAACCAAAATCGACCGCGTTACGAAAAGTGGTCAGGTTTTGACCACTTATAGCTCCGTCAATAGTGGATGGATTTTAATTCTAAACAAGCCAATCGATTGGAAATTTTTCTACGAATCTGCTACAATGAACACTTTTTAATTTTCAGTGGGTCACTATTGAAAATTACACAAATATCCAACTGTTGCAATGGTGATCAAAATAATCGACGATTGCCTGCAAAAAAAAAGTGGTTTCCCCAAGGGGTATTCAACTCTGCACACCTTAATCCGTGCCGAAAGCTGTGCCAAGCGCTATGCCGAACGTGGTTTCAATCAAAGTGTGCCTATCAATATGTCAATATTCCATGAGTTTGGCAACCCCGAGAGTTATGACTTTGTGTTTTCATTCTCAATTTATCAGATGGATCAAGGCAAGCATTCAGCTTCCCTTCATTCTCATACTCTTCATACTCATTATCCGCAAATCGGGAGGTGGAAGAGGAAGTGGAAGCCATCAAACCAGTACGGTGTCCCTGCTGCTGATTCCTTGAAGATGTACAAAAACGAAGGCGTAACCCGATCGATGATGGATGGAATTGCCTCCTGCTCCCTGTCAAATTATTCCCGACTAAGCTGCCGGTAATCGCAAGTCAGCCCCATCTGCATTTTTATGAATTTTGAGTTAGCATCAAAATGCTATTGTGCTATTGAAAAAAAGGTGGTTTGTTCAAGAAAAATGAAATACAATACCAAGTCAAATTGTCCCACAGCGAAAAGTAACCGCAAGGCAGTCCCATTAGAAAAAAATAGGATTTCATTAAATAAACTATAAGCCAACGTCACAGATGTTTTTAGGATTGCTTATATATAATTTAAATTGTTAGACAACACATCGCATCATGAGATTTGTCTCAAGACAGATTTTGTCCACGTTCCCTAGGGTATCTAGACCATGTCCGGATGTGGCCAATATAGTTCTTACGATACTCAATTTGACCAACAATCAATACGAAACTAACGATTTTAAATTGGCTCACTACTTGACTAGCCTATTGGTCCCAAGCAAATCGATTAACGAACCCCATTCTAGTTGAAATTCTGGTACTACACTATGTTTGTTTTGATTATGAGGGGTTCGTGGATTTTCCCACGTTTCGAGGGGTGAATCGATTAGCTTGGGACCGAAGAGAGTACCAGAGCTGAGCCAAAAAGTGGAGCACGTTATTTCGGGACCTTCTAGTCTTAGAGTTACCCCTATGGTTTGATGGATATGGCTTTGAATTCTCCTGTGATTTGATGTATCGCTTGATAGATTTTGATTTGAAAAGGATTTACCACTTCCCCGGGAATACCCGGAACATGTCCTGATTTGGCCAACATGGTGCTGGTCACTCATCATTACTCTTATTGATCTTATTTTTGAATTCTCATGTGAATTGATTTATCGCATGGTGGGTTTGGCACGTTTGGCTCTGGTCTGATGAAGACCCATACTCACCGGAATATGTTCCAGCCATTGCTCTGGAACCAGCGGAACAAGTCCAGAAACATACAACAACGTTCTATGGTATCTTTCTACTGTTAAATACTGTGCTAAACTAATGCAGCATCGTCATGGAATTGTGACTGACTTGCGGTTATTTTTCTCATTGACGTTAAATGTAATCGCAAGTCAGTCCCACTCAGATTTTGGCCATAAAATAAAAATTTCTCGAAATTTCATCCAATATTTTTTGGTAAATATAGATGCATTCTATCACTTCTAAATTTATTTAAAATAAGTGTCAAATCAGAAAACTTGTAAAATCTTTGAACACTGTTTTCTCATTTCCAGGTTTTTACAGATGGGACTGACTTGAGATTATGGGCAGTAAAGTAGCTTAGAATTTGAACGGGCGAGAATTCAATCCCACCCTAGAAGCAACATTCTCGGACCAGTTTTTAATAAAGCCTCAAAACAAATTTTCAGTAACGAGCGCAAGGCCTTACAGTTGACCGATCGGTAGACCACCCATCGTTCTGGCGACCCTTGATACGAGCTAGTTCAACAGAAGAATGATGACAGAGATGCATCAGCAAAATTACCGGATCTGGTGAAGGGGGTATGCTTGATGTCGGACTTGTGGAATAGAATGTAATTGCATTTCTAACTGCAATGATCCGTTCCTATAAATGCTATACTCATTCAAAATTACATGGACATCCCTATAAAGTCCTGTGGATATCCCATCGTATCCAATATCAATTGAGACCAATGACTACGAACGTGACTGACGTTCATTGTCTCCAGGTTTGTTTTTGATTGTCATGATCACGGGATCCAACCAGTTTGAACCATAGGTAGCTTTTGACCAACCGTCGGTCGCTGGAGGTAACCAGTTTCAGCCGTATCGACAAGACCCTCTCGACCGACCATGGTGTAAATGGACTAGATTGAAGTCAATCCCGAGTAGAAGCTGTTCTAAATGAAATCACCATGAAAGCCACTGGGAATTTTGCTGTGAATCGGATGAGACGGACTGAGCTTTGCTGGATTTAAAGAGATTCACGGTTCAGAGAATACTTACAAAAAATTCTTAAATTCTTGATTGAATCGTTGTTTTACCAGTTTTATTATATGAAAACAAGTTCAGTGAGTAAACCAAGTATTCAGCCGAGTTATCAACCTTAGCAACGTTCCTACTAGTCAAAGTGTGCCCTATCGTGCAGAACAGTGTGCCGTGCTGTGTTTTGGCACAGTGTGCAGAGTTGATTACCCCTTGGGTTTCCCTAACACAGTCGCTGAACATTGATACCGAGCACGTAATCCTACACCAAATCTATGGTCGTGTCTTGGATACAACCTCTTACTTTTTCTCAACCGAATGCAGAAAATATTCAACGATGTACTGAGTAACAAACGCTTCCAGTGCAAAGTCGAGCTAGCGCATCCGAAGAATTCCTTGGCAAAGCTTTATTTTCTCAACCATAAGGGGAAGATATTGGGCGATGGACTGAAGAACAAGTGCTTCCAACGAAAAGTCGAAAAGATTTTCGAAAGGATTCCACCATAGAGGTAACTCTAAGACTAGTAGCATAGAGGTAACTCTAAGACCAGAAGGTCCCAAGCTAATCAATGCACCCCTCGAAACATTGGAAAATCCACCAACCCCTCATTTTATTTGTCAAAAGTTTCATAGCGAATCAAAACAAACATAGTGTAGTACTGGAATGTATACTAGAATGGGATACGTTAATCGATTTGCTTGGGACCAATAGGCTAGTCAAGCAGTGAGCCAATTTAAAATCGTTAGTTTTCACCGGTTGATTCCACCGCTAACTTTTATTGCAATGGGAAAATATAGTGGTGCCAGCCCCAAACCACTGATTGAGTAGCAACATTAGCGTCATAACGATGACAGTGATGCTAGCGAGAAATTTTGCTTTGATTTTCGGTCGAATGCTCCTTATAAAGCACTCTTTACTCAGGTCTTAAAGCACGTTTCAAGTCTCTTCAAGAGCATGATCAAACCAAAATTGAAACTTGGGATTCCAATTTATTTTCTCGATTAAAAAGATGGACTGGAGAACAAGCGTTTCCAGTGAAATGTCAAGAGGAGAATCTCAAGGAGACCATATTCAATGATAGCTTTAGAAAGAAGCACTTCCAGAGTCGTACACCTACCCTATTCATTCCACTTTAATTCCCGTGTTTCGTGTTCTAAGCATTGTCTATCTATCTATGTATGTAAAGGAAACCACTCATTGTTGCAGGCACAACCATTAGACAGTGGACTGTCCACCTCGTATGACTTGATGAAGTACAGCACCTGATTGTATGAAGGGCCAAAAACGGAGGGCAAACCTGTAAGCGAGCCTGTTAGCAAAGACACTTACGCATAGTCCGCGGGATCAAAGAGAATCTCCTTCCAACAGTAAAATCCTACAACCCGGTAATGTACAAGCCATCGCACCCAACGAGGGGATGTCCCAATGAGTGGGGAAGAAGAGCCCGCCTTCAATTCACGGATCTGTTAACGACAGAAAGTTGGCAATTCCACTCTCCCCATCCAAATCGCTTCAATCGGGTGCCCTGGTTGGACCGTCCCATACCCACCATATAATGTGTTATATAATAATGGAATGAATGTTACGAGAACAATAAAGGAAAGATCTCACCCGATATGTTGCAAAGGAATCCATGACTTCACGGCGATTCCGAAGAGCTCCCATAGCTTAGAGCGTTTCCGTGTTCTAAGCATTAAGCCAAAACATAAATTTCGTGAAGACCTTCAACCCGAGGCTGGTTCCTCTTTGTTCATGGAGCATTGTTATTGTTTGCGAAATTCTAGATTTCACAGGCAAGAAACGGTTTGCAAGACTTGGCCAATCAGGATTATCCGGAAATTCTACTCCAAAAACGCTTAAGGCCTTTGGGTGCGACACATCTAAGTCTCAATTTTAAGGTCGAAAAATCTCACGCTTGCGAACAACCTACGAAAAATCTTTTTTCATCTCTTGCATCTCTAAATCCATTTGTTTTTTTTTATTAATTTATTTGATAAGGCTCAATCGAATTAACTTCACAGAGCCGAGGATTCTTGTTCACTATACAAAACATCGTAAAACTACAACAGAATCAACACCTTCTCCATCAGAACGGGATTGGCATTCAGTGGTTTCATTGTATGGCAGAATCGCCAACGGGGGGCAGAGCGCTTCCATTGCAGCAATGGACGCAAAACGTGGTCATCACTCACACACTCATCACGAAACGGTTACTTTCCACATCGACCGAAAGAACTGCTGATGAAGAACAATGAGGAGGACCACACAATGGTTGCTGCCGAGTAAACAGACGATCGCGTGTGACCTGCTTCTGTCGACAACCGAGTGAACACTGACTAAATCCATCTACTCGCATCGATATCCACCTTTTGGCGGGAAATCTTCTTCAAT